TATTAATATTAAGTTTAAAGTAAACGTTTAATATTATTGTGAGTATATGTTCTTTGTATTAGTCCATAATTGTTGTCTTTGTTTTTACAAACACATGTCTGCCAACTTTTATTATTCATTTGAACATCTTTTGTTTTTTCGTTGTATTTCTTTGTTGGATTTAATAAACATAGTGGCCCCTGATGATGCTGGAAATTTCAGCGAAACGTTGGGCAACGAAGGTGGAATAAGTGTTTTATTTGCACCATTAAATAATAGATCACACCAGCCTACAAGTCTACCAAAAATATATTCTACAAAGTGATCGCTACAAAAACCAAAAAACATTTTCTTTTTTTACTTTCTTGGCTACTTTTATTATTATTATTTTTAAATTTAATTATTATTATTATCATATATATATATATTTTTTAGTCAATTTAATAGTTTTTCTTTTTCTTATTTAGCATACATATAAAAACGTAGGTGTGTATATATAGGCCCGAAGAACTCACCCCTTCTTGCAGCAGGCCTTGGTAGGGGTCGCTGGTGCTGCGCGCTTCTGTTGTTGACGTTGCGAGCTGCTGTTGTTGGTGTTGCGCGCGGCTGTTGTTGACGTTGCGCGCTGCTGTTGGCGTTGCGCGCTTTCGTGCCCGGGTGTTCACCCCGGTTGATGCCCATTCCCTGGTGAGTTGCTGGTGGTTCTGCTACTGATGTCGCTTCTATGCGGGTGTTGCCGCTACAGTGCGATGGTTGTGATACCGCTTTGGAGCGGTGTTGCTTCGCGCAACCGTTGTTGTCGATATGCTGTTGTTGTTGTTGTTGCGCGCTTCGGTGGCGTTGGATGCTGCCCCTGCGGTTGTTACGCTGGCGTTGCGGCTACCCGTAATTCGTTGGTTTGCCGATACCGCTCGGGGCGGTCGTGGTCTGATGTTGCGGTGGACGGCTGAGGCACCCCCTAGAGACATTAAAAGTAATTAGGGTAAAGGTCATAATTTAATGATTCATCCTATCAGGAGCTTCGCTTTCGTCCGAGCTCGTTCACTATTCCCACTTTGCTCATGTGCGACTTGTTTTTGCGAACTCTTGATAAGGATTACTATTTCTACATATATACCTATACACTTATATGTGCCGTTCACTTAAAGTAGCCTAACTCAATTCAACGAGGGTTCAATATAACAACAAAAAATTAGCTAAAATCTTCTATAATATGATTATTTGTGAGTTTGTTACTTAAGCGCTTTTTGTTGAAACGTATTTGGTTGAAAACCAAAATTTAACTCCACTTGGGCCCTTTCCCCGAAACCTATTTCCCCTAAATAAAATTTCATTTCGATCTAAGGGAGGAAAAGGGTGTTTTTCTGTTTAGCTTGGAATCGCAAATATGGCAAATCAAAGGGGTTTTCTCAAGAGACTATTATAAAAACCCAATTTTGTCTCTTCTCGACTTAGGCGACTTTGAAAGAAAACAGTACAGATATCACAGTTTTAACAATATACAGAATCATTCCAAAACCTCAACCTTGCGGGGAAACGCACTAAAAGCTTGAATTATTCATACAGTTATTAAGCGGAGCATATTTCTCCTTATCACGCCAACAATTATACGATGAAATCTCTCAACACGCAAGTTTTAGACTACTTCTGTATACCAGCCAACGTGCGATACACATACGTATAGAAACAATGAAGTAATACAACTTACCTAATCCCTAGAGGGATATTATGCAGAGCTCTTCACAGGCTACGTGGGTGAAAATGACTACCTTGCCCGAAGACACGGTGGTGGTTAGCCAGCAATGTGCGGTACCTGCGCCCAAAGCGATACCAAGTTGGTGTAGCGGGTTTCGTACTCTGCGAGTCCGTGGTATGAAGTCCTCGGAAGTTGGGACCCTACTTGCCAGGTGGGATTGCAGGAATATGCCGTGCGAGTTGCGGCATTTATTCGAGCAGCAGCGTAGCACGGTTCACTTCTGCTTTTGACTGCACGATATATAGTTTTTATTTATTACTTCTTTTTTTCACTATGTATTTTATTACATTTGAAATCACAACCGCGCGTTGTAAAATGCGTTTTCTTTCGTAAAATTTTCACTTTTCGCACCAGTCGCCAATGATAGAATGCCAAATGGTTGACTGCAGAGTTGCCAGCGGGTTTTTATATCTTTGCACTGCGGGAATATTCCATTTGGAAGAATAACGGGCACTGCGTCATTTGGACTAGTTCCGTTACTCTTCCAAATGAAATTTGCCGCAGTGCAAGGAGGAATATAAAAAAAAAAAATCCAGGGTTGCCGTGACTCCTTAGTAAGTATTTTTACCTGATTTAACCGCAAACAAAATCTTTGAAAATTGCTAGTTTACAAATTTGACAGTTTCGTGGTGGATACGAACGTCAGAATTTTATCTAGCTCATGTGCTAGGTAAAATTTTACAGCTTCTAGGTGTAATCAGCCTTATCATGAGTTTCATTTTTTTCCGAACCGGTACACTTTTTCACTTGTTCTTCAATACATCTATGGCCGGATGAACAATTTTCGGGCGAAACTCAGGATAAGGCAGAATATTGTGGGCGTTAATAAAGAATGAAAATCAAAATGGAATCTGATAAAACAAAAGAACGTACGTTACTTGCAAGCTATAAAATAGATGTAAATTTAACAATTTCAACAACACACAAAATAGAGCTTCTGCACAAGCGTTTGTGTGGTTTTTCCCAACTGTCAAAATTTTCCTTTGCGGTTGGCACAGAAAAACTCAATTTATTCGTACACCATGCCGAAAAAGCTACCGATTGCCACTGGCTCTATATCAAAATATTGATAATGTTGCCTCGAGAACGCCTTAGTACAAAGGAAAACGTAGCTTTCAAACTACCAAGTCACCGCAATAGATGCCAAAATCAAGCTCTGATATATATTGCTCTATATTCTAACATTTGTGTCAAGATATAAACTCAATCCTGTGAAGACGGGCAGTTACAGACAGCTGTCACAACTATCACCAGCCTCCGCGGGAAAGCGTTTATTAACCGAAAAAACTGTAAGTGCGCCTGGGCCACACTGGAGAAGTGAAACTTACGTTACGTATCTCTTTTTTTCTCATAACCAATATACATAAATATGTACATACATACATTCATCTGCTTTCGCTTAAGCTTATATTTTTTATCGTTTTTCTATCTACATAGATCCCTACCTCTACTCCTGTTCGTTCTAATTACATTTATTTTATTATGTTTTCCTTTATATTAATTTTTATCTTTACCCTCTATCGATAACAAAATCGATAGTAACATCTAACAAAATATCGAAAACAAAACTGACAAAAATATTGATAGCAAAACCGATAACAAATTCGATAAAAATCGATAAAAATAGCGATATCAAAATCGATAAATATCGATAACTTATTCGATAAATTTCGATAACAAAATCGATAAATGTCGATAACCAAATCGATAAATATTGATAACAAAATCGATAAATATCGATAACAAAATTGATAACAAAATCGATTAACATCGATAACAAAGTTGATAAATATCGATAACAAAATCGACAAGAATCGATAACAAAATCGATAATTAGCGATAACAAAATCGATGAATATCGATAACAAAATCGGTAAATATCGATAACAAAATCGATAAATGTCGATAACGAAACCGATAAAAATATCGATTATTTTATCGATAAGTCTCGAGAATCCCGAAAATGTCTAAAATCCTAAAATAGTTCCCAGATTGAGTCTCTGTGTCTCTCTCTATATCCTTTCCTCTTTAATTACCTTTATTTTAATCTTTCTTCCCCTATCTTCATCTTTACTTTTATCGGTATCCTCATCCTCCTCTTTGTCTTTACTTTTATGTTTATCATTTTCTTCAGCTACATATTCCCCTTTGCCTTTGCCCTTATACATATAAGTGAAGTGTTTAAATTTACCTTGGTATTCATTTTCGCCTATATCTTTACGCATCTTTGTTTTTGTTTTTATTTTTACCTTTGCCTTTATCCTTTTCTTTATCTATGTACGTACTCACCTTTACTTTCATTCTTGTATTGGTCTTTTTCTAAGTGTAATTCTTTAACCTTTTATTAGCAAATTTTTGTTAAATTAATACCATATGCATACACACAAGAAGCACTTGTTTCAGCCCCAACCATTTCCGTTGCACCATTCCCATTGCACCATTTCCGTTGCATCATTTCCGGTGCACCATTTCCGTGTGCAATTCCGTAGAATTTGCCAATTTACTCCCAACCAACCAACCGCCGCTAAAGAAGTTTCACTTCAAAAAAGTAGGCACACAGACCTGCAGGAACCAGTGACAATCAGCGACACTGTCCGGAACACAGCTGTCGCAAAATGGCAGACCTTCCATGCAGTTTTGGTGTTGCCGTACGCTCTAGAAAAATTATTAGATGGTGAAATTTATGGCACGCTACCGGGTGCGCTATACGCCGAAGAATAAAGTATTTATATTTTGCGGGCGAAGAGTAACCCATAACAAGATATCTGTTTTAATTTGCTTTAGACTATGTTCAAATAGGCCAATTATTTAGCTGAGGCAATGAAGCTTTAAATTGTGGCCTTGAGCTTGGTGTTCATACACACGTCAGCTGCGCAATTAGCGATACGAAATCAGCTGCTGGATTACCTACAGTGATGGAAAAGTTGGTACAATCGTACCTTTATTTAGTTTGAAAGTACAGTCGGTGTAAACACACAATTTTAGGTACATTTGGAACGTAGCCAAATAACTTCTCATGAAATCAGTTCTTATTTTTATTGACATTTGAGTGCATTTTCTGGTGCGGGCAACTGGTCTAATAGCTTCCCTCCTTTGTGAAGGGGCATACAAATGATACAGAAGGGTGTTTACAGTAACGCAACTGTAGTTGATTTCACCAGATAAACGGAAAATATTTCTTTTTAAACGTCAGATCGAAGGACTGGGTGGAAAGTGATTCACCTTTTTCACAACATAATACTAGGTTCACATATAAGTAGATTATCCCCATTTTCGATTTTAACACTCTAATCTGTAATTATAACAAGAGATTAGCCATATAAAACTCGTCCCTTGTTAATCTGTAATTATAAAATAATCTCAGATTAAACCGATAACTTTTCGGTGTCCATCCTAGTTTTATCGATTGTTTTTGAAAAAAGAGGAGGAATGGCAAATGTAAAAGTAAAAAAAATGTACGCTAGCAAGGAAAATAGGTTTGTAAAGGTATTTTTAATAAAATGTTTAGTTAAAATATATTTATATTGCTTATTATAGCATAAAAACGTGATCACGGTGTCACAGAGAAGAAACATAACTTTTCCTTGAGATGTGAGAATAACAAGCACAACAAATTTGACGGCTAATAATCTGAGATTTGCCTGTGTAAACGGGGTGATTAAAACCCGAGCTTTGATTGGGATAATATTGATATGTGAACATAGTTTAAGGGGTATTCACCAAATTGAGCAAGTGGGCTGGCACTCTGGCAAAAGAGCAGATGAGCTCAGGCAACGACTGTTGTCAACTGTCGTTTCTTGAGCTCATCTCCTCCTTTGCCAGAGTGCCAGACCGCTTGCTCAATTTGGTGAATACCACTATAGTTTGGTCTCGCGCTGCTCCAAGAGATTAGCAATTAATAATTTGAATTTTTGTATGATAAATTGGGTAACAATTAAAGCTTAAATTGGTGAAAAGATTCTTAATTGCCAGTTAGGTACCTGTTTGTACATGGTTTTACCGTTTCGTTCGCCATATTAATATTTTCTTCAACAAGTTTTGTCATTGCTTTCACTGCTTTAAACAGTCCTATTAATTCAGTGTAATTATTATGCGCCAATTTGATGTAATCAATACACGAATCAACAGAACATCTAGCTCCTGTTTAGAAATGCGAACACATTTAGCATGAAATACTCCTCCACAAACTCCACTACACGGGACGGTGGCATCCCGCGAGCTGACTTTGCATTTTCCGCACTTCTAGTCCATTTCAAGGCCCTTCCACTGCAATCATACCACTAATTAAATTAAAATACGCGTCCTTTTTCGCTACTTTGATTATTTCACTGAATAAATTATTGATTCGAATCATCCGCCAACAAAACACGTCCGCTCACATCCGTGTTGCCAAAGAAGAGTGGCAGAACCCTTACAACGCAGAATTCTCCTCTGATGTTGGAGAAGGGTGGGAGAACTTCTTTCTGCGTAGGCGGCCTTTGGCCGTGCTTAGAAATCATAATCCTTACTACGCAGAATTCTCCTTTCTATGTTGCCGCAGAAGAGCGGCAGAACTTGTTTCGGCGTAGGCGGCCTTCGGCCGCGTTTAGGGATCATAAGCCTTATGTTCATAATTCACAAAGGATTTCTTTCCATATGTGCGTAGGGATCATAACCCTTACTACGCAGAATTCTCCTTTCTATGTTGCCGGAGAAGAGTGGCAGAACTTCTTTCTGCGTGGGCGGCCTTTGGTCGCGCTTAGGGATCATAACCCTTACTACGCAGAATTCTTGCTGGTATTGCCGAAGAAGAAGGGCATAATTTATTTTTCGTAGGAGGCTTTCGGCCGTAAATGAGTTTTCTGTTAGTAAGATTTTGTTTATATACATATTATTCAAATAATTACTAAAATTAAAATCTTTGTTATTTATTATATTCAACAATTTTTATGAGCTCGAGGCCGTTTTCAGTGAAAACTTATTGTGGAAAAGCAACAATAATTTGAAAAAATGGTAGAAGTGATAGCTATTTCGGAAATCACCACATTTCCTCATCAGACTTCTTTCAGTAGGATTCGAACCGACGATCACCACTGACTCAGCCAGTTGCCTACGCACTGTGCTAAGTTTGTCTTGTTAATTCTTGTTGCTTATTTTCCACTATTTCACTTTGCTAAGCCAACTACAATCAAGCGCAGCTATTCCGCTGCAATTCACTTGATCATGTGGTTGTTGGTTTTGTTGGTTCTTGTTAATATTTATATTA